CGCGGGGGTGCCGGCCGGCGCGGGCATGGGGAGGGCCGGCGCCGCGGCCAACGGCACCCCGCAGAACGTCCAGGGCATCACCTCCTACCAGCAGCGGTGAGTAGTCCCGCCAGAGCTGGGATAGTGCCCTGCCCGGGGGTGCCGGGGTGGGACTCACTTTGCCCCTGTTTTGTGCCTTACAGCACACATGCACATCACCCGGACTCACTTCGCTTGCCCTCGTTCTATAGATAAAAGAGGAAAAAATATCACAGTCCGGATTGAAAAGCACCCCAGTGCACTGGCGAAGTGAAAATCATCCTTTGCCCTCTGCCTGGCCCGCTATCTAGAGCCTCAGCCCGGAGTAGCGGAAGAGTTGCAGCGAAGTCTGCGACGCCGCACAAGGTGCTTTTGCAAAGTTTGGGATCCTGGTCCCCTTCTTGGCAGAATTTTCTCAATGCTTCTGCCCGGTGCAGATCCGCTCTGACGGACAGCTAGGGGAGCAATTGATCACCGGAGGCTGATTGATCATTTGTTTCCAAACAGAATAGGAAAGATTTTCATGTGTAGTGGTAGATTTGCAATTCTACATAATAGTGTTATCATGTCACCTGTTACTACAGGGAAATACAGCATGAAATCTGAGTCTTTTTGGCGCTGTTAAGTATTCATCTTAAACGCATTCTAATGCAAATGGGTAAGGTTCAGGGATACAAGTTAGGAAGCAAATTTTACAAAGTTAGAGTAGGTGGTGAGAAGGAAGTTTTTAAGCCTTACTTGTATGTATTTCTCCTCGAGGTATTTGTAGATTTAAAAAATATAGATGTGACACTGAAATAGCGAACATTCTTTGATTCTACTGGGAAAGAAAGAGAAAAAATATTTACTACCACCAATATCCGTAGACCCTAAAGTTTTTCCTTAAGGACAACTTCCCATTTTCCAAGATGTTACTGAAAATGTAATCCACAAAAATGCGCTGGGAAAACTAACAATGTAAGAAGAAGGATAAGCTTCCCAATCATGGGGCTGAATTTTATGGAAGGTGGAAGAAAAAAGAGCACATGAAAGTGTGAAATTAAATATTTGTGTTTCCCAGATTGCACACGATTAAACATTTGAGAGATTTGCCAATGGCATTTAACTTAAAATATACACAATGCATAATTCAAATAACAGTTCCTATTTTTACCTTGTATTTGAAACTTCATTGATTTGAGAACCTTTGATTTGAACCAACAGTATTTAAATTGAAAAGGTTAAGATAATCCATCATTGCCATATTTTTGTGCCTTCTACCCAATGGCCCAGTGACCAGAGCAGATTTTGCATCCTACATTGAGTGTTTTCCAAGTTCATGCCCAGTATTACAAACACTCTGTAGAAGACTTCATTATATGCTGTGCTTATTGTCGGAAGTTTTAAAAAGAGTCTTGAAAATGATGCAAAAGAGATTTTGCATTCCTCATCAAAGAGATTTTGACTTAAATTATTTTAGTCTTGTTTTACTTCAGTGATTAGAAGAACCTTTAATACAAAAAGATCTGGAATTTTTCAAACATGAAGGACAAGAAAAGAATTAGATTTTTCCTTTTCACGGTCCAGGTATTTTATGTATATATATATATATTTAAATGACAATAGAATCAGCCGGTCACTCTAACTAGGAAGTTCTAGCAATAGTCACAATAGTGTGGGAATCAAGGGTCAGAAGTGTCACATACGTCAGATGGCCTTTGGATGATTTCAAGGACCTCCAGGGAACTTGAGGTAATCTTTCAGATAAATAAGTTGGCATAAGGGGTAGTCATGAATTCTCAGTCTTGAGGTTTGCTCTAAGTGTTGGTGTTGTCTTTTAGAAAAGACTGTATTAAGCCAGTTTTCTCTCACGTCAGGAGCATCCGGAGGTAGTTCCTTATATTCCTTGTCACCTCAACACTGAAAGCTGCACTAGTGCTTTGCACGTTTGTCGTTGATTTTGGACCACTTGTCAAACCTCCGGATCCACCATTTCCAAAAGACTAAGGCTGTAAAAAGAGTGAACTCTAAACTTTGTATATTCCCTTCCTCACTTTTTATATTCTCTCATATTGACAGGAGGGAAGATGATAGCTGTGAAAAATGTAGCCTTTGGTTTCGTTACTCAGATGTGATGACACCTGTGACTTTTTAAAATTTTAGTTAATTTGGGGGCAGAAGAGTGAGTCATATGGGGCGAGAAGATTATTAGCAAGTGTTTGAGGTAAGGTCTGAGCCAGGAGTCTGCTGTCCTCTGACACTTCATCAAGATTGTGGGGTACAAAAATGTCAGGCTTCAGGGACTCTGAGGGGGCAGACTTAGCTTCCACAAGACCTGGATATGTGTGGTAAAGTGAGTAGTGACACAGCATTTTACCAAAAATATTTTAAGTATTTTAATTCTTGGGAGTCTCAGGAGGGAGTGACAGGAATGAGGGTTTCCCAACCAGAGTGGTCTTCCAGTTGGGAGACCACAAGCTTCTCATTTGTTGTCTTTGGGCAGGGATGCTCCAGAGGGACTGTCCTGGAGCCAGAGCTTCCAACTAGCAATGTTCTTCTTTCTCCACCAGCCCGTACATGTCTTGTAGGCGACACGACACTGGTTCACTTCTCAGGAACTCTCGTTTTCTCCTACCTGTAGAATGTACTCAAAGATTAGACCCGAACCATCTCACACATTTAACACCTCTGCCATGTAAAACGCATACGCTTCCTCTGTAAGTTTCCAAGTCCCATCCCTACTTTACTGGAACGAAGGGGATCCCCTTTTCAGGTCTTCTTTTCTCCTAAAGTTTAAAGCAAAATGCAAAGCCTCACAAAGGACTGATGTTGTTTGTGATCAGGCTCTTTCATTTATTCAAAGTAGAAATGCTCTGAGAGTTCTTCCTGCCAGGCTGACATACAGCTGACCCAAGACTCTGCATAAAAAGCTGCCCTCCCAAGGCAGAGAGGCTTAAGGTAGAAAACATTCTGACTACAGTCTACCCAGCTAACAGGAGTTCAGCGCTGGCCCTGCATTGAATTTTCCCGGTCTGTAGGCCTTGCTGAACTGTAAAATGGGAAGGCAGCCAGACTAGACCCTAGAGGCCAGCAGCCCAGTCCCAGTTCCAGGTAACAGGATCAGTGTTGGGAAAGGCGTTTGGACCCAACTGTCTTTTAACGCCCAAGGATTCACCTGTGGACCCCGGCGTCTGCATGTCTGTATGTGAGTGAAATGCAGATACTCCGGCACCGGGACGAGGCTGAAAGCGCCAGAGCCACAAGGTGCCAGTGCGGCAGCTGCGCCGCTCTTAGGGCTCTCCCGGCCGCTGGCTGGGACCAGCAACCCCCCCGCCCCCCGCCCCCCGCGTGGATTTCCGCTGCCCCGGGAGGCGCGCCCGGGACGGCGTCCTGCCCCAGCTCACTCCCGTGGCCTCCCGGTTGCTGTTTCTTTCTTTCCTCCTGGCAGCGATACACCAGAGAAGGGAAGTGTTTGAAACTGCAACTGAGTGGCGTTGTTGCGCCAGCAGCCGAATCTCCTAGTCCCCCAACGACAGAGACAGAGAGAGAGAGGGAGAGAAGAGAGAGGGAGAGGGAAGGGGGGTGTGTGTGCGTGCGCGAGAGTGCTCTGGAGCAAAGCAGCTGGAAAATGCCCAGAAATACTTTCACAGCGGTCAAGCTGGGAACCCCCAGCGTGTCCCGCCCCTCCCCGTGCGCCCCGGCCTAGGCCCCGCGGCCCCGCCGGGAGGGTGAGCGCCCCACCTGCCCGGGCCGGCTGGGGGT